TCCCGAGATCTGGGAAGAAGCTCTGGTAGCCCAAGCATGAGACGCGAGGCAAGGAGAGACAGGGGCCACAGCTAGACACTCACCTGAATGACAGATTGGACCGCTACACGGGTGCAGGTTTGTACCTTTTCCAGATTCCTTTGAAGAGTGAGTCTCTAGAAGAGAGAGGAAAGAGAAGCCCCTCAGGTCTGAGGGTGGTGGGGGGAGGCCACGGAGACGCCTCAGGGGCGGCTGCAGAGAGGTCAGGAGTTCCCACAGGAGACAGCCAGGCCAGAGGGAGGAGCCAAGCGGCGGAGCAGCTGGATTCCCCCCGGGCACATCTGAGTCCAGCCATGCCCACCTGTCTTCACTTTCCTCCTGGCCCCAGCATCCTGAACGCCAGGGTGACAGGCGCACCACACCCAGCCCCAGACAAGTGTTATCCCACTCTTCCAGGTGTGCAAACTAGGCTCAGTAACTTACTGAGGTCACCTATAAACAAGGTGAGAGTCTGGGCACTGTGGCTCACACCTGTAGTCCCAGCCTTCCAGAAGGAGGAGGAGGAGGAAGTGTGTTAGTGTGGTGAGCCATGCGGGGCCCCTGACAGGACCCTGGGCTTCCTCTGCACCTCCTCCTCCTGCCCGTGCCAGGAGAGCAGCTGGTGGCTTCTGGCCTTCTAGGTGCTCTGTGCATCCTGCAGGGTGGGGTTAGCACAGAGGACGCCTCCCCATGTCCGCTCTCCCCGGTGTGGGCTCTGAGGCAGGAGAACGCCCTAGCCATGTGGGCCCTGCAGCCCAGGTCCACCTCCCAGGGGAAGGAAACCCAGGCCAGACGGGAAGCCCTGGCCCCAGCTGCTGGCTGCCAGTTCAAGGTGAGCCCCAGCAGGCTTAGCAGGGCCCAGCCCTGCCGCCGTGACCAGCGGAGAGGAGCAGTGTGGGTTCCTGAGACCAAAGCCTGCCCGTGGCTGGGCAGGGCGTGATGACCCCGGGCTGACATGCAGTCACACACAGGAGAGGTGCTGGTGACAGGGTGTGGGTGGAGGCCATCGGGGCCAAAACCATTCAAGCCAGAGCAGCAGCCCCAAGTCCACACCCAAGTAACCTCCATGAAATAAAGGAAAGAAGACTGGAGCAGGACCAGGCCCCAGACCCCCGCCCTGGCTGAGTGAGCTCTGCTTCCCACGTGGGCCTGGGTGGCGTGGAGAGGTTCTTACCTTCAGACTCTTCAGACGTCTCCTCCTCACTTTAAGAAAGAGTGGGTGATGTTGGAGGCCTCACCCACCATTGTTCCTTTGGGAAACAATGGTAGGAGACAGTGGGATTTGGGGGCTCCAGCGGGGAGGGACTGGGACCAAGAGCCCAGTTCAGGTTGAAGCAGCGCCCGCTTTTCCTTCCCGCAGGTCCCGGGTCCTTCCCCCTGGCCTGCCTCAGCCCCTGCACCTCTCGTCTTCATCCTCGTCGTCATCGTCTTCAAGGTTTTCTTCCTCGGGCTCTTCCTGCTTTTTGCGTTTTTTCTTCGATTTGTCTGATTTTTTGGTCATCCCTCACCGGGCCACTTGGAAGCCCACTTTTGTTTGTGTCAGAGAAGTTCCTATGGTACGGCCAGGTGCGGGAGTGTGAGGAGACCTCCCTGCCGCCGGCCAGCCGGGTGCCAGCCATTGTGATGTCTTGTTAGTGTTCTGGGCTGGGCTTTGTTCCGGGTCCTGCAGGAGAATGTGAGGCCGGCCTTGGACTTCACCAGGAGAACCCGTGCCAGGGAGTCTTTCTCCTCTTCCCACACCGCCCCCTGGCGGCCGGGAGCTCTCAGGGAGCTGGGTGAGGAGTTCCAGGCAGGCTCAGGGATGAGGTCAGGCTAGACAGAGCTGGCTGTTGTTGAATTCCTAAAGGGGTCCACCCACAAGGATCTGTGAGACCTTCCCCGTCCTTCCTCTTAGAGTGTGAGTACACAGGTGTGTTCATGTGTGTCTCCTCCGGCCAGGCTGCCTCTGCTGTTCACTTAGCTCTGGGACTCCAGGATGAGATTCCCCAGCCCCCTTACCCTCTGCCTCTCCTTCAGTCCATGCCTGACCTCCACTCCTGTACAATAGTACAGGACAATCGTAGCAACCTTGCTGCCAGCACTGGGGCTTAACCTCAGGTCTACCACATGAGCCATGCTTCTACTTCTAGTTTTTGTTGGTTAACTGGAGATAAGAGTCTCAGATCTGTCCTTCGGCATGACTATGACACAGTCTTCCGATCTCAGTTTCCCGAGTAGATGTCATCACAAGGGCCAGACACCAGCATGAGGCTTTTAAGTTTTTTGAAATAGACTCTCATCATGTGGCTCAGAGTTGAAAGACCTTGTAATCCTCCTGCCTGTCTTCACAGTGCTGGAATTACAGGCATGGCCCATCACGCTCTGGCTTTTATAGGGTTGTTGAGAAACTCATAACCCTAGCTACTGTGGAGGTTTGAGTGCCATTATGAGCTTGGCTTAAAGAAAAATTCACTGAATTCCATCTCCAACCAACCAGCGCAAATCACTGCTGGCAGCATTGCTCACATAATAAGAGTACCAGTGGGGCGTTGGGTCCGTTGTGTTAATCTTCCATATGTATTGTAGGAGTTGAGGTTTGAGAAGTCATGATCAATGCCAGCCAGGGCAAAGCACGCTGTGTGAACAGCTGAGCCGCAAACAAGCAAGCTACGCGAGAGTGAAGTCCTGAGTTCAAGTTCTCTTGGGCCAAAATTAAAAAAAAAAAAGGCTACGTATGTGTTTCAAGATGGAGATGGGTCCTTAAGTTTAACCCTCAGTATACAAAAGATAAACAGAACAACCACAAATCCACACTCATACACACATACACAACAAAGCAGCAACAGCAAAAGGGAGGCTAGGAAGAGAAAATAAGCTGCAGGCATGTGAGGGATGGTCTAAGAATCCACTGTAATGTCACTGTCCCCTTGGGGCAGTGGAGGGACCAGGATAATGTCTCTACATCTGTGGCACCCATGGCTGTCCCTCTGGGGTCCGCCACTACCCCCCCCAACCAAGCAAGCACTGGGAGACTTGCAAACATAATCCATCAATAAGATCTTCACGACTGCAAATGCAGCTCCTGGGAGGCCTGGTGGGACCCTGAGGTGATCTTTGTCTCCCTTCTGCTCACCCCACGCCTGCTGCCTGCTCTATCACAAAGCAGAGAGGGCAGCAGTACCTGCCAACGGAGCCCAGCAGGGAGGGGAGCCGGGCCAGGGGCCCTGTCTGGCTGAGCAGCTGTCTGCCCCTCCCAGATGTAAAGCCTGGACAGAGGTGCTGATGTTGGCTGCCTGCCTGGCTCAGAGCCCCACAGGACTGACAGGTTCTTCGCTACTGGCCCTTACTGCCAACCACTTCAAGGTGGCCGGGAGATGAGATGGGCAGGCCACACCCACACCGCGGTATCACTGGGCAGACAGGAGGGTGTGGTGTGGCTGTTTTTAGTGTCTGCAAAGCAGCTCACCACGCCCACTGCCCACCCTAACGGGCCCAGCAAAAGCAGTGCCCTAAGGCTCTGGCCTATTTAGCCAGCCAGCCCATGAGACACAGAGGGTGTTCAAAACCAGGCAGGGATCCCTCCTCTCCCTCCCCCCCCCCACCATAGCTTCAGACCCTCTTGCCCCAGGAGGGGCTGATGGATCACTGTGTTCTAAATAAAAGTGGCTGTGGCCACAGCTCACCTACCAACAGCCCCAAAGAAGCCCCAGCTTGACGACAGGTGGGTGGGTGGTCCGGAGCCCTAGAGCTAGGGTAGGACTGAGTACACAGAGCTTGGGCAAGTGGGAGAGTAGGGTATAGAAGCTATTTCTTCTTTATACTCAGGCACACCTGGGGTCTGCCCTGCACCCCTTAGACTCCAGGGGAACCTCCAACCGGCCTTTGAAACACGCAGCCAGTTTTTAAGTTGAGATTAAATGAGAACTCTTAGAATGGTGCCGGGCCGGTGGCAGTTTGTCAGGTAGTGGTAGCAAAGGTCCAAGAGGCATTACTACTTGATTCTCCAGCGTGGAACCATGACTTTCCCCTCCCAGCCTCCAGTGTGGCTGTGACAGGGGCCTGTGCTTGCTCGCTGGAGACTTTCTCAGGGTGTCGGTCAGTCCTGGCGGTAATGTGCCCAAGTCACATTTCATACCCAATAAAACGCTGGTCCCCAACAGGCTCTGTGGAGCCCAGGGTGACCTTGAACTCTGCATCCTCCTGCTTCTGCCTCCTTAGTGCTGGGAAACCAGGTAGAGTGCTAGTCTCCTTTCTGGATGGACTGGCACGTGAGAGTCAAACCCCAGAGCAAGGCCAGCTGCTCTCAAAAGTGGTCCCCAAGGTGAGCCTGAAGGGGACACTGGGTAGGAAACCTCCCCTCCCCCGCCCCGAGGACAGTGATATCTCACAGGAGACCCTGCAGACTGCTTCCGGAACACCCCACGCGCACCCCGGCCGAGGCTGCCCTCCCTGCTATCAGCAGAGGCAGGAGGACTTCACACAGGGTTGGGGAGGCGCAAAGCCAGAACCTGGAAGGTTATCTTGGCGCTCTCTTCACTTTAAGACGCTCCCTTCACATTCTTGCCTCCAAAAATCTAATGAGCTCCAACCGCCAGTCGAGACGGGGGAAGGGCTGGGGAGAAAGTAAGCGCGTTGTAGTTACCCATCCGTCTACAGCCAACCCCAGCCCAACACCTCGCAAGCCAGCCGTGGGTTTTAGAGATGGAAGGAGGTGCCCTAAGGGACCCACCTGCTGACAACTTGGCATCTGTACGGGAACCAAGGTGGCCTGTGGCTGAAGGCACAGGTTTCTCAGTGGCAGCAGAGACAGCTGTTACTGCTCCAAGCCACAGAGATCACACAACTCAGGAAACCTGGGCGTAAGGTCCAGCGTGCGGCCACACTGTCTTCCAGGGCCACCCCCCGCCCCTGCGAAGCTGGCAACGAGGCAAAGCTCCATGTTGGCAAGACCTCCAAGCATAGGAAACCTTCCTCCACCTCCGCTCTGCATGGCACTCACTGAATTTCCATTTTTATAGAAAATTTTATTCAACATACAACATTTTCCAGCAAAAAGGCAATATACAGGAGAGTTGGTGCACACCGCTGCTACAGAAACAAAACAAAAAATACTGGGAAGGAGGAAATAAGTGATTGCCGATCCTATCCGACTGCACTCCAGACTAGACACGCAGGGGCGTCGGCTCAGCGGCGAGGAGCAGGGACACAATGGACAGCCCCGAGCTCGCTCGCAGACCCCCTCCCCCGTGCCAAGTTGTACATGGTCATTCATTAAATATACAATTTCATCTCTCCTTTTTCCCTCTTTTTACCTTTTTTTCCTTTTTCTTTTCTTTTTTTTTTTTTACAAAGTCAACAGCTTCCTACCACTAGCGAGCGCACCCTCTTCTAAAGGCTCTCTCCTCGTCGCGGGCAGCTCCGGGTCCTCGAGTCCGATTTGGAACCGTCACCCGTTCTGATCGGCCTGCCAAGGGGCAGCAGAGTAAACCTTCATTGTATTTCACAACCTTCTCCAGGCCAGAGCCCCACGCGTGTGAGGGCTGGTTCGGTGCGCCCACTTTGCGATGGGGCTGCACTACAGTGGTGGCTGCCGGGTGACAGGCGTGACGAGGGCTATGAAGGACCCGGGCAGCGGGCGGGACGAGCCGAGGAAGGCTGACAGTGCACACAGAGAAGGAAAGAGCGCTATTTATTAGGTTGTGAGTTTCTCGGTTTGCCTTTACAGATGCACAAAGGTCATTGAAAGTTTAACTGAAGGAGCCTACGCAGGCCTATCTAGCTGCAGGGCTGCGACCCCGGCGGCAGCCCGCCCACCTGTGCCCAGAGGCTGCCCGTGGGGACCCATCCTAGGCACCTCTGCTCCCCGTGATGCTGAGCGGCCTTGCACTGTGGTTACCATAAAATAACTCTCACTGGCGTCCGAGCTTTATAAAAACACCTTCATTTTGCTCAAAAGGGCAGTCAATAGATACAGAGAAGCCAAACCGAACAGCCTCAACAAAATAAAATTAACATCAGCAGCACATCCTCTTGCTGGAGACTGGCTAGAGCGCACGTGTACCAAAGTTCTGCGGCTGGTAAAGGACACACACCACGCTGCCCTCGCCGTCGACACTGGAGAGGAAGTCAGTTGTGGATTTTAATCGCCTTTTCCAGGTAAGTGTAGCGACTCCTCTTTGGGGCTTTGTTGAAGTGGTCGAGCCCTAGCCAAGGCCGGGGATGAGACATGTTACCTGCGGGAGAAAGAAGAGCCCTGAGACCCCCGGCCCCCAGGCGCTCGGCAGGCTCCCCGTGAGCTGCCACGGGCCCTTCCGCCAACATCGCCAATCCCGTTCACAGGGCTGCCACCTCTCGCCCACGAGCAGCCCTTCAAGACACGCGCCCCTCGAGAGGGCCCGCTGGAGTGAGGGTGCTCTTACCAGGCTGCGGCTCAAAGTCTTTCAAGTTCACTTCATACTCATCTTCGTTAATGTACTGGTGTCGGCCCATCATCACAATTGCAAATTTAAACTAGAAGACAAAAGGCAAAGCTTCTTCAGTGTGCTGCACACTGCTTTGCTAGCCAGGGTCCTGGGGCAGGGTGGGCGCCCACCTTCTCAAACTCCTTTTCCTGGATGTCCAGCAGGCTCTGGATCCGCTTCATCACTTCTCTGAAATGCTCGCCCTGGGAAGGCAAGGACACCGCGGCTCAGGCAGTGCCCACCATCGCAGCGCCCCCACCCCACCGCTGCAGCGCCCCCACCCCACCGCATATCCACGCACCAGCTCCACCACGCCGCCTTCACTCTCACCTGGTGTATCCTCAGCAAAAACGGAATTCCAAAGGTCCCAAACACCTCTTTGTGGAAATGGGCCACTGTGATCAGCATCTCATTTTCCTTATCTATATCCACCTGGTCCAGAGGTATCTCCTGGACACATGGTATAAAGACAAAGTACGCTTACTGCAGGCTGATTCAAACTATCAGATCACCTCCCCCCCCAGGCCCACAGCGCAGACCGCACAGCGTGCAGGACGGTGGCTGGACACCCCCGGGAGGGGCCTCTGCATTTCTAGAGAAGTAAACGGCTTCCTCCACCACAAGCTCCTGCATGCCACAGCTAAGGGACACTGCCACCAAGACCCCTGAGCCACAATAAACCCTTCTTTTTCTTCTTAAGCTGACTCCCAAACATCTTGAGTAATGAAAGATGCTTCACATAAGCACATTGCTGCCAACATGCCATACTGCGCTTTTACTACAACGCCAGAAAGTAAAGCAAGGTTTTGCATGAAATAAGTTAAGGTACTGGGGCTGGGAAGGTGGCTCAGTGGTAGAGCGCTTGCCTTGCATGCATGAGGCCCTGGGTTCGATTCCCCAGCACCACATAAGCAAAAAGAAAAATGCTGTAAGTGGCGCTGTGGCTCAAGTGGTAGAGTGCTAGCCTTGAGCTGAAGAGCTGAGGGACAGCGCCCAGGCCCAGAGTTCAGGCCCCACGACCGGATCCCCTGGTCTTTAGGGTGGGAAGGAGTGTCGGTAGCTAATCTACAGTGCTGCACAGGCACTGCCCTAGATTCGCACCACACCTAATGGTTGGTAGCTTCCAGGGCTGACGGGGGAGGGGAGGGAGGGGCAAGTGCGGAGAGGAGAAGAGAGCTCTAGAGCTGGTGGTGCTGGCTGCAGAGCAATATCCCAACGCCTCAGCTGCACACTAGCGTACACCTTGGTCTGGAACGTGAGAGCACACCCCCAGGGACCACAAGGAAAGTCTATTACCTCTATTCGAAACGTCCGACTCGTGGCTGGAGATAAACATTCTAACAGTTCGTCTTCTTGATGTACACCAATGATTTTGTAACTTACAATTTCTAGCAGCCTAGAGGAAAAAAAGACAACGGAAGCACGGTGAAGCCACTATGTTCACAGGGAAGCAGAGCACACCGGTCACAAACGATCCTTGTCTGACAACATCCCCACCCCTTCACTCATGGCTGCAGCGCTACCACTGGAGCCTCCAGCCTCCAGTCTTCCCCCCCCCCCTTTTGCTAGTTAGTTGGAGATGGAGGCTTGCAGACTTCTCTACCTGGGCCAGCTTCAAACCCAACCCTCTAGGTCTCAGCCTTCCAGGCAGCTAGGATTATAGGCATGAGTCAGCCGGGTGGGTAAGGGACATGATCTTGAGGCTGCAACTCTCACAGCGGGCTGCCAGCGCTGGGCTTCACTGCCACACCAGGTCCGCGGGGACGCTGTGGCTGGCTTCCACTTGCATTGGGCCCGGAGCAGCCCGACCCTGCCCCTCCTCAACAGGAGACACTTGCCTGAGTTTCCCTGATGCCTTTTCACCAAGCTCCACGGCTTTCTTACATTCTTCTAACAGGTCCCGGACACAGCCGTGCTTGTCTGGATATAGTGTTATTTCCTAGAGAATGGCAAGGAAACTGGGTGCTTTAAAGAAAACACAGACTTCTGACCACTGCCGCTCAAGTCCTCCAGCTCCCATCGCTGTGCTCAGTGTGACATCTCCAGACCTGCTGGGGACCGCCCTCCCTGACCAGTGCCAACTCTCAGCACCATGAGAGAATGCTAGTCCACAGAGCAGGGTGCCTTCAGTTCTGGTGGGAAAGTCAAAGACCAGACCCCCTAGCAGGCTCACTTCCTCCAAGAGCAGTAACTTGCTGTAGCAGCCAGGCTAGAACGGGCAGGGCCGGCCAGGGCCCTTGGGGTCACCCTGCACTGGACCGGGACACGTGAAAAGCCTACAGCGCCATTTACTGCAGGTGAACGGCTCAGCCAGGGCCTCTGCCACACACTGGCACTGACGGGCGGCTACAGAAACAACAGGGGAGCTATGGAAAAAAAAAATACTATAGAAAACTTACCTCTTCCCTAAACTGACTGTTTAGCCATATACACTTAAAACTTCGCCGGTTCTCAAAGTCTGTGATTTTCATCTTAAGCTATTGAGAAAAAAGATACTCCTGTTAGATATCCTCCCAAGCAACCCCAGCCTCCTCTTTAGTACCCAGTCACTGAGTTGGGGGTCCTACCTGCTGATAGTAAAGTTTCTTGGGTTGTCGAGGCTTGAAGAACTGTAGAAGATCTCTTAAAGTACCTTCATAATTATGTCTAAGAGGGTTACCTGGGCCATCCCTGTAACTACACAAAGAGACAGCATGTCAGCAGGGAAGCCCGTCGGCCCATCCCGAGTGAGTGGAGGAGCAACAGCCTCTCACTACACTAAAATCTGGGTCTGGCTCACAGCGCAGCTGATTACTCCAGTTTCCTGGACCTGAGCCTTTCCCACTGCCCCACTCAAACGCTCTGTGGGGTGGGACAGCGCACGAAGCCAGGACACGTGACCAGACCCAGTTGCACCCAGGGAATGGGTATGGACGGCTTTAGCGGCAGCAGTGGATTACTGACAGCCTGCAGGCTGGGGCAGAGATACAAGGCAAGGGGTAGCAGAAAGAGGGCCACGGGGAGCACGCACAGGGCTTACCCTTGGGACTTGAAGAACTGCAGCAACATGGGGTCCGTGTTGAGTCTTTGCGCAACTGTCTTTGCAACCTGTGGGGTGGAGACCAAAGCAGACGACCTGAGAGGGCTGGAGACCTCAGCACAGAACCGAGGCCCCACAGTCTGAATGTGAACCCCTATGACAGCAGCTAATGCCTACCTCTCCCTACTGTCACACGCTGAATGAAGGGCGCACTGCGATGTGCACCAGGGAATGGACTGATTAGCATCTACAGCAGTCCTTTGTGGTGAGACCCTTTGAACATTCTTTTTTTTTTTTTTAACTGAGTGAAGTGGGAAAAGATGGCCTTTCTTAGTACGTTACTGGTTTTAAACTTGAGACCTTCTGCCTCAGCCTTCTGGAACCTGGATTTTAGTCATGTACGACCATACCCAGCTACAATCTGTCTCTAAAGATAATGCCAGGGGCAGAAAGGATTTTGTGGGGTGATGTCCACAGAGCCACACAAATGAACAGTGGACCCTTCTTGTTCAAACCATTAGAGAGCTTCTCTAACAGACATTTAGAAATGAGAAGCTGGGGGTTGGGAATGGGGCTTTGTGGCAGAGTGCTTGCCTAAAAGCGAAGGACCTTGGATTCAATCCCGAGACCAAGGAAGAGAGAGGAAGAGATGGGGGAGAGAGAGGCAGGGATGCTGTGTAGTGTGTGTGGAATGGGGAGGGGACAGAGTACCTGGAAGTAATTCATCCTATTGGATAACGTGACCACAAATCCAGGGTCATTGGGGATGGTTTTGTCACAGAAGATGACGTCCACGCGGTGGTAGAGGTCTCTGAAATATTCCTTTGCGGTGGGCAGTTCACTGTTATCGTTTTCAGGGTCATCCCTGAAATTGGAGAAGTCCGCAGACTGAACCAAAGCCACAGCAAGCAGTGGGGACGCACACAAGGCCCCGATTTCCTCACAGACAGCTTTCGTGTGTGACAGACCCAGGCTGTGCAGACCCATGCCCACCTGCTGAGCAACCGCAGCTCCCGGCAGACGTTTTACAAGACCAACTATTATTGCCAAAGCTCTGAGAAACCTCCAATTAGTCAGGCTCAGGAGCCCAAGCCAAGTATTTGCTAGGCCTCAAGACCAGCAAAAAACCAAACCAAACAAACCCTCCAAACCCCAGAGCCAGGAACCACCCGAGTGAACGCACTTCTGAAACACTATGATGTCACCATCCATCAGTTCATCCAAGGCTTTGTCAAGGGACACATCGTAGTCCTGAATTCTCTCTGTTAAATTCGGTTTAACTTCCTGTAGTCAAAGGCATAAAACACAGCTCACAAAGTAGCCACATTCCCCTATTCTACAAGTAGACTTACTGCTACTAAACAAGTTTAAAAAAATCATTTAATAAAAACGGTGTAACTCTCAACCCAAAAATTCTTAGCTAACAAATTCAGCACTCACAGAATAACGACCCCCCACCCCCAGCTAGAAAGGAAGAGGTTATCATGAAAGAGTGCAAACCTCATAGAGGATAAGGCTAGTGTCTTGGATAAATCCTGCTCTGTCACACATAACTGGGAGCAAGTCACCTAGAACACAAAAACAGGTGTCAGAGGCAGGGCCGGTCTCCACGGAGCTAAGGTCACAAGGCCCACACAGCCAGGACTTACGTATTTTACAGGATATGGGTGTGTAGATATGCCCACAGTAATTCAAGCTCCGCGTTTTGGGATCATACATCTTCAAAAATAACATTACATCATCTACAAGTTGATGAACAGAGGCTGTTAGCATCTTAACATTCAGCAGATATGTAAGAGATTAGCGGTACTCCAAACAACAACTTCAGGTCCCTAGCAGTTGAGGGGTCAGGAGAGGTTTGTGCACGAGGCTGACTGAATGCAGAGGCAGGTTCAGGTTCGTCACATCAACCTGGGAGCCACGTCGGGAGGTGAGCTGAGAAATCCTAGTTTTCCAGCCTGACCCCACCTCACCAGGCAAGGAAGCACAGACGACGTGCTGAAGCTGCAGGAGCCTTCCAGCAGCAGTGGCCAAGGTCAGCTGGGCCGAAAGGTCGGCACCTGCCTTCTGGGGCCTAACAGTGACACACTGCTGTGTGGCCCACAGCTGAAAAGCTTCCTCCCTGCAATCTCAGCACCAATGGAGCTGACCAGCGGGAAGAGCACCAGTGGGAGCAGAGAGCGGGGACAGGTGGGAAGTCCTGGCCCCAGTGCCACCTGTTCCACCCCACAGGACTCTTCCGGCCCAGGACTGGGTAATGAGAAACGGAGGGTGAGCCTAGGTGCTGAGAGCATTCAGATGCCCCTCCTGTCTCAACTGCAGCCGGGCATGTGTGGGCACTTACGATCTTTATCAAACTTGGGTAATGTTGCTCCGCTAGCAGCCAGTTCAGGGTCAACTGTCTCCAGGAATATTGTCCAAGGGTTTTCATTATCACTGAGTTCAATCATCTATTTCCAAAAGAGACGTTGAATTTAGGAGATGTGAATGGCTTAGGTGACAGGGTGCAAAACCACTCTTGAGCTCTGCAGAAAACAGCCAGTTCTGCTGAACCAGATCAAGAGGCAGATAAGGCCACAAGCTGCAGAGGCCAAGAGCCTTCGCAGAGCTGCACACACACCCTAGGGCCTAGCACCAATATTTACTGTTTTATTGCCGTCTGCTTCATTATCTAGCATTGCTGGTCGCTTTGTTCCATTACTTCTTGCTTGCATGGGCCATAATCGAATTTGATCTTGTGGAAATCCCTGAAAAATTTTAGAAGATAAATTGAGGGGAAGCACATCTATTTGATGCTTTCTTTGCCCCACCTGACCTGGGCATGCACTTCCTTCCCCTCTTCAGGATTCTGGGGTCCAGGGCTCGGTGTCCACCTGCCAGACCCTAGTGGCGAGAGGGGGAGCAGGGTCCTCCTTCATGAATCCCAGAGAAGCAGCTCCAGGGACAGACTCCTGAGGGACTCTACCTCCTTCCCGGCCAGGAGCTGTGCTCAGGTCAATACCTCACTTAAATATGCAGCACCCACCCCCAAAGGGAGTGTGGGGTGTTACGGGGATGCCAGGGCTGAGGCTAGCACGCACCATGGTCTGGGAGAGGCTCTGGACAAACTCGGAGAGGGAGGAGTTCTTCAGAACCTTGAACACAGTATACTTCACTTTCTCTTCATCGTACATGTCATTTCCTTGGTGGCCGCAAAACTGGTCCTCTGCAACGATCTAGAGCACAAAGCAGCACACAGGACAGCTCGCAACGGGCACGAGACGGGCCCAGGGACCACAGCTAAATTATACAAGGCTTGTTTGGCTGGTCGTGGGGCTTGAACTTAGGGCCTGGGCGTTGTCCGTCAGCTCTTTTGCTTAAGGCTACTGTTCTACCACTTTGAGCCACACCTCCATTTCCCATTTTCTGGTGGTTAACTCATGGACTTTCTCCTGCCTGATCCTCAGACCTCAGCCTCCTGAGTAGCTAGAATTACAGGCCTGAGACACCAGTGGCCCAGCTAGATAGAGGTTTTTTTTTTTTTTTTAAGGGGGTCCAGTCGTGGGGCCTGAACTCTGGGCCTGGGCGCTGTCCCTCAGCTCTTCAGCTCAAGGCTAGCGCTCTACCACTTGAGCCACAGCG